TTTCAGTTATTTTAAAAGTACATCCAAACGAACCCTAAGTTATTTTGGTTTGGTGGTGTTCTGTCCTTGTACATTAAAGGATACATACACCTAGCTTAAGGGGTTTGAAGAGAGCTAGGTTTTTTAAACTTGCATTTATTTTTCTTTTCATAGACTTATGATTATATCATATTAATTAGTTGTCAGCATTCAATACTATGTAACTATGGGTTTCCCTCTATGAATTACTATTAGCTCTTGCAAAAAAAATAAAAAATAAAAACCACAGACCAGTTTAGATAATTAGATCATATTAGTTTGGTTATGTACGACCTAAATTTTCAAAAAATGCTTCAAGCTATTTTAGCTAGCCATTCTAAACAAACCAATTTTAGCCTCAAACTAAAAGATTAAACTGAACAAACCTAGATGCTGTTCAAAATCGCAAAATTTGGGTAGAAAATTTCTTGCGTAATAAAATTGACAAATCAAGGTATCTACCTTGTATATGTTACATGAACATTTGAGTAGGCACGTAACACAGGAACCATCTCCGACAAAAAAAATTCTCCTTCTCTTCTCGAATTCAACCAAACCGTCTGAAAACAAAAATCAGATTTCGACCAAAAAACAAAGTCAAATTTTTGTTTCAGCCAAAACCTAAATGGTACAGTCTTTCTCTTGAAGGACAACCAGGTCCCCCTCGATGGAACGAATCCCGCCGACTGGAGTGACTTGCCTCAATAGTCCATTGTGATGGGTTCGATTCAACCCCAATTGCGCGTTTTCGGATAAGAATGGTAACTTTGAAGTTATCACCTATGATGTACAAAGACTTATGTTTGGTCACGTATTCCTTATCTTATATCTAATTGGATACGATACTTGCCCGATACTTTTAGATATTGATTGAATATGTATCATGGTCAATACACACAATATTGACTAGACGGATACGCGTATTCTATATTTACAATAAGCTTATCGAGCTTTAAGATACATTTGCACTTTCACAAAAAAAAAAAGAATAATGAGAGGAGGAAAATTAATATGAGACATCTATAATTGAAAGTTAATTAATACATATAGTTTCCCTCTAATGAAAATGATGTATACTGCTCGTACCACTCTTACACTTCTTCTAATATATATAAAGAGGATTAGATTGCCAACATTTATTCTCTAACAACTCAAATGTCTTAAATTTGAAATGATTAATTGTGTATTTTTTTTTTAATTTTTTTTGCAAAATTGATGAATTGTGTTTTAAATTGTATATTTTTATTTGGTTCATCAATAGCGTATTGTATCTATAAACAGAAGAAGAGTTCTAATAAAATTGTTTCTATTAAAATAAAATAAAATAAACATACATAAATTCATAAATAAAAAGAAAGAAAAAAAAAACGAATTGAGAAGGATCTTTTCCCTTCTTTATTTCTGTCGACAGAAACTCAGAAACTTTGAATTCGAAGGTTGTCGCTTTCATCCTCCTCCTCCCAACGCCGTCCGCACTTACTCCTCCATTACTCCTCCGAGTTGCTTTCTCTCGTGGTTGTTCATCATCAATGAACCCTAATCTCGACCCTCCCCCTTTTGACTTTGCCTATAAAATGAAGGCTGGCCTCGACCACTACCACCACCACCTTCAGACAGTATGGCTTCTTTGTCTCTTCCATCCTACCTTTCTGCCCGAAACAATAACAGCCTTCAGGTCTCCGCAAGAATCTCAAACATTTCTCATCAAAATCTGGCTTTCTCTTCCTCAGTTTCTTCCTCATCGTTATCCCCACATTGTCCAGTACTCTCCCCGCCTGCTCCCACCAACACCCTTATTCAGGGTGAAATTGTGGCTGGCAACTTTTTTCTATTTCCCCCGAAGCAGAGACCTCGCTCCCTTGGGCATTTACGTAAGGTCATGAAAGCGAAACGGTATATGGATGGTGGCAAGTCACACAAGAACAAACCGTTTGACTCTGTCAAAGCAGAATGTGTTTTCAACCCTGCAGTGGAAAAACTCAGGAAACAAAACACCAGTGCGGTGGTTATGGAAGATTATGACGACTACAATCTTTTGAATGAGTTGATAATCAAAAATGTTTGGGTGCCGGATTTTATGATCCATGAAGAAACTGACAAAGCTTTCAGGGATGCACTTCGGTTGAGGACCGAGGAGCCGGGGAACGATCTGCGGAGAGAGAAGGTGGAAGTCATGAAGAAGCATTAGTGGTTTGTTAAGAAATTTCTGAGTTATGTATTTTAATTTCTCCAAAAATGCAACCCACCGACTGCTGTAGTGAATGGAAATTTATTATCTATATGTTTTTTTATTCTTATTCACTCTCACTGCTTTTAATTAGTTTTTCTTTGGGGAACAATTGAGCTATTTGTGATAGGGACCGAAAATCGAAACTGGAACACGAATTAATTCGACTGAATATCAAATTAATTTGTTTGTTTTGGTCATGAGGCTTAATTTGTTAATTTATTCTCTTCTACAACATCTGAGCATGCATGACAGTAGTAATTTCAAAGGCATTCAAAGGCTACATTGTGAACTCCGAATCAATGTTGCTGTAAATAGACGGCTTTTTGATTTTCGTCTCAAATAATTTTGTTTTCCCTTGTGTGATTTGTCAAGACAAGGGGCTTGAATGATGATATCCCTACTGTTCTTCCCAATCATCGACTCGGATGATTGTATCACTGAGGAAACCATTTTATAGTGTTCATTAATTCAAATTTGGCATAGCTTTTGAAATAAAAGGGGTTGATAATTTTAGGCATCAGATTATAGATGAAATTTTGCCCAATTGATACTTTCTTATTTACGAAAACAAGGATACTCCAAACAGGGTATAACAATAGTGCTTATTCACTATTGATGCGAGAATTATACGCACACAAATTAAACCCTCTTTTTGACAATTGTAGTAAGTATGTAAGTAGGGATCGTTCAGGACCGGGGATTAGGAGGGATTGTTAATCACTTGGATTTCACTCAAAAACGTAAAAACACAATATAAAACACTATACTAGACTCAAAGAATGCAAAACTAAACTTTAAAACACCAAAACAAACCAAAAGACTCAAAACAACACCAAAACACTCAAAACTGCCTTAAAAACACTTTCTGGGCAGTTTTGAGCACTTTGAGTACTTTGGACGAATTTGGGTAATAACTTGAATCAAAACACTTAGAAACACAAACTAAGACACTTTCTAACTATATTGGACACTAAAGTAAAGGGGGATTGAGTTTTTGACGAAATTAACTAAAATGCACAGATTGTAATTAAAAACAGATTTTAAAGATGAATGTGATGGAATTGAATGGATGGGATGGCTAGCTAAGGGGTTCATCTCCACACATGTTACACTTGCATATAAAACGATTTCTAATTGCTTTTCAATAAACCATGAATTCTCAACGCCCCAGGTTAACCGTGATTGCACTAATTAACCTTCAAATCTTCCTAACGTTATTGAATTGGATGATTGCATACGACAACCCAAAACATTCCCCACAAGTCCCCTACATGATTGCATAATAGAGATACAAGCAAGAATCATTACGCTCTATGAAAATTATAAGTGTTGACGAGGCATTCGTTACTATGATTGCATGAAACTTATGCCAAGAATTCGTTTAACGCGATTGTTTATAAGCAACCTCCACTACTTGTGAATATAAGTTCGTAACTATTAGGTGAAACTCACTTATATTCTAGCGTCATATTCATGCATGAAAATTAAGCGTGTACTCTCAATAAACATACATAAATAAGTTATCAATCAAACAGTTAAACAAATTGAATCCACAACTTATGAAACGCAATTAGAAGTAATCAAATCAAAATGCAAGCATAAACATATATTTCGAATCCCCCCCTAGCCAAGGGGGGGTTTAGTTCCTCATACGTACAAAACAAAGAGAATTGAAATTAAACATTGTAATCGAGGAAAAGAAACACCTAAACATTCCAACAACTCAAACTTGAATTGTATGAACGTTTAGGCACTCTTCTCCTCCTCTTCGTTGTAGCACAAGGTCTAAGGATAGTTTGATGGTGTGGATGTGTGTTTGAATGAATGAATTTCTGAAATGGAAGAATGTATGAGAATGAATGGGAATGAATCCTTTGAATGAATGCAATGCATGGTTTTATAGGGAGAGAAGGGATGGGAGAACATGTGAATGGCAGCTAGGAATGATTAAAGAAGGGAATGCATGTGTAATGACAACTAGATTGGTTGGTGCAATGATGAAATGGATGGGAGAGGGAACATGACAGCTAGGTAAAGTGAATGTGGCTGCATGTTTGAATGATTAATGATGCATGTGGGTTGGAAATGCATGTGCAATGATTCTTTGGTGCTGAAAATGCATGTGTAAGCATGTGTTGGCTGATTTAAAGAATGTGAGGGAATGATGAAAGGGGAAACATGACAGCTAGGTTGAATTATGAAGAGTGAATGCATGTGGCTGATTTATGTGAATGATTATGGGTGATTATGATAAGTGATAAGTGGTGATGATAAGTGTATGATATGTGATTATGATAAGTGATAAGTGGTGATGATAAGTAATGATTTATGATAAGCGATAAGTGGTGATGATAAGTAATGATATGTGGGAGTGTGGCTGAAATGAAGGAGTGGAATGTTGGAATGTTATGCACGGCTAAGGATATAGGAGAGGTTTAAATGTCCTAAAACTAAAGGGAACAAGGTTCCAACACTTTGGTCTTCAATTAGGTCTTCAATTTCGTCCAACACTTTGGCTCCAAGCATAGGCTATCCATCCTTAGCCCAAAAGTGCTCCAAAAGTCTCCAAAATGCATCTTTTTGCTCCTTTAGCCCTTTGGACCTACAAACCCACGAAAATAGCTTAAAGTACTAAAATAACTAAAGAAACATAACGTAAATGCACGAGAACAAGCCATTTAAGTCGCATGAATATGCTCCTATCAACTATGCTATAACAGGTGTAAATTTCTCAAAAACCGAACTGAAACCGTTTGATGGCCAAGTTTATGCAAACCAACTCTTAGCTCGTCAATGTTAACTTGCCCTTGTTAATATCCATGCGCTTAAATCCCTGCATTATGCTACCAGCTTCCTGCATCGACAAATGCTCAGATATAACCTGTTAATTTAAATTTCTGAAAGAACCAAAAGGAAACATTAGTAACTGAGGACACATACATATCAAACGTAGAATAGAACACATTAAGCAGATGAAAGGTTATGAAAAAAATTATCAAACATAGATCTTTGAAAAAAACTACCTTGAGCACATTTCTTGAGCTTGTTCATAAGGGAGAAACGCTTGAGCCTTGACCGAGCAGTTTCACCTAAAGAAACATTTGGAGCTTTCTTTGCACTTTGCAACCAAGGATGATCTGCACTCAAAGAACCAAGGATAAGATGTACGTTCATAATATTATGTTTTGCACTTTCCAAATTCTTCAAGCAACAAAAGTCTCTTTAACATTACGTAGAACTTCCGGAGCTGTAAGCCTCCGCTTTGGATCAGTATTAAGTGTCTTCTTCACAAGGTCTTTTGCATTGTCAGAAACCAGAGGCCAGGGGTCCCTCTTAAAATCTACAACAGACCGTATAATTGCTTGTGCAACTCCTTGTTCCGTTTCTGCACAGCAAGATAATAGATTCAAGTCAGAAACTGTCAAAGATGCTAGCACTCGGAAAGCCAGAAAGTAATCAGAATTCGATAGAAATGAAGAGAAATTAGAAAAGTGGGAAATTCATTTCAATGGGTCACAAATTCACGCATGAACATATAAATATATGGTGAGCACATATGGTAGCAGCACATCACTTTTTGTTGGTAGATAAATTGCCAACCTAAGAGTATACAACACCCAAGCACGTGTTTTAATAGTAGCAATGCGAATTTCTTATTTGATACCAAAGTTGATGAACTACAATGTGTTTGGAAACATTTTGACCAACCATAGTCCACGGATGCACAGTGCAAGCGAAAAGATAAGGTATAACTAGTGAATGTGAACTTTAAAACAGTTCTCCGCACTTAATTTCTTCAGTGAAAATATAGATAGATGCTGCATCCATACTATCCCGAGTGTGTAGGAGTGCTATTTGGAGAAGAGCATTAATTAGGAAAGATGAAAGCAGCACCTACATACTTTAGTCCAGAAACTAATCCTAGGTGAGTATGCACATCCTGCATGCAAGTATGCAATTATGACCAGTGTGTATAAATGTGCACTACGGAATAACCACATAATTTTTTTAGCCAACAGGTTGTAACTAATTAATCCTCTAACATACCAAACCATAAACTAAAGAAAAGATAACACTTACAGCTTCCATCATAATATGAAGATCCCCATCAAGAATTTGATGGCCAAGTTTATGCAACCCAACTCTTAGCTCGTCAATGTTAGTCTTACCATTGTTAATATCCATGTGTTTAAATCCCCCTTCTGTATGCCACCAACTTCCTCCATCATCAAATGTTGAGCTATAACTTGTTAATTTAAAATTCAAAAAGAACCAAAAGAAAACATTAGTAACCGAGGACACATACATATCAAATGTACAATAGACCACAAAAATCAGACGAAGTGTTACGATAAAATTATCAAACTTGAAAGAGTACCTTGAGACCGCTTTTCTTGAGCTTGCTTTGTTCGTAACAGAGAAGTGCTTGAGCCTTGACCGAACAGTTGCACCTAAAGAAACATTTGGAGCTTTCTTTGCATTTTGCAACCAAGGATGATCTGCACTCAAAGGACCAAGAATAAGATGTACGTTCATAACATTATGTTTGGCACTTTCCAAATTCATCAAGCAAAAAAAGTATCTTTAATATTAAACAATGATGATAATCATCAAGAGAACTGAACATTACCTATAACTTCCGAAGCTGTAAGCCTCTGCTTTGGTTAAGGACGAGCATCTTCTTCACAAGGTGTCTTGCATTATGAGAAACCAGAGGGCAAGGGTCCCTCTTAAAATCAACAACAGACCGCGGGAAATTCGATAGAAAATAAGAGAAATTATTTTCAACAGGTCTCAAATTCATGTATGCAGATATAAGTATATGGGTGTGTAAACATGGTTGCAGCACATCACTTTTTGTTAGTACATATGTTGCCAACCTAAGTATATATGAGACACAAGCACGTATTTTAATAGCAGTAATGCCAACTTCCTATTTGTTGACAAAGTCGATGAAAAACAATGTGTTTGGATAATATTTTGACCAACTCTGGTCCATGGATGGATGCACAGTGCAAGCAAAAAAAATATGGTACGACTGGTGAATGTGAACTTTAAAACTGTGCTCCCCACTTAATTTCTTCAGTGCAAATATAGATAGATGATGCTTTCATACGATCTAGAGTGTGTACGAGTGTTAACTTGGAGAACAGCATTAATTAAGAAAGATCAAAACAGCTTTTACATACTTTAGTCGAGAAACCATTTCTAGGTGTGTATGCACATCCTACATGCATGTATGCATTTATAACCAGTGCGTATAATATACGCTGTGGAATAACCATATATTGTACATCCTCTATAAGAATATAACTACTGTACATTGCCAGTTGTATCTATACTATAGTGAAATATTTAAAGTGACGCACATATACAAACACACACAAACCTGCCCAAAATGGTGGAACACCACAAGGTAAGATATCGAGTATAACTCCAGCACTTCACACATCAACTTCAGGACCATAGTTGCGTTTAAGCACCTCAGGAGCCTTGTAATAGGAACTTCCAACAATTTCACTAAATACTTCACTTGGAAATACATAAAAAAAAAAAAAAAAAAAAAAAAAAGGTTTAGTAAACTAATCAGAACGAGAAAATCAAATGCCATAGTCTGGAGAGGACTTTACCAGGTTTAAAGAACATGGACAACCCAAAATCAATTGCCTTTAAAGGTACTGTTTCCTTCTTGTTTTCAAACAAAAACTTCTCGGGTTTGGGTTTGAGATCCCGATGCTTCAGACCGTGCTTGTGGCACATCTGCAAAGAATAAAACACATTAAATTATGCCAGTGCATGTAAACCTATCAAAAGGTCGATTCCACAAGGAATAATATTCGGAACACAAATCTATTCCGACATAAACGACAAAAGAACCGATTCACCACAATTCGACAACTGCAATTTGACCACCAAAAGCTGGCTGAACTAATATAAAATGAAAATGGAATATACTCATCAAAGAATTGAACAAATGATCAAAATTTCAATTAGTTATAGATTCACCTGTTCATCAACTAAAACCTTTAGAATGTGTTTTTAATCAAAGTTTATCACTACTAAACAAGTACTTAAATAAATCAAAGTTTTTTTTTATTAGCACCACACATAATGTTGAATGCACCTTACATTAAAATTTAATATTAAATGACTTATGTACCTTATTATGCAATGATAATTTCGACCTTCTTAGATTTAGAAAAAAACAGAAATCTCTAATGCACTCCAAATCACTTTTGACGTATTATTGATCTTCTTCAACTATCAAAACCACTCTCACTCTCCATTGTTGACCAAAACCCTAACCAATAAAACTACAAACTCGTTTATTGAGAAAAATAATTTTTGACGAATGAAACATGAAATTGATGTTTCAGAAGCTTCAACAACATGGGTAATTATTTTTGTTTTCTAACGTTCTTGTGGGTATTTATGGGTTCACCTTTTTTTGTTCCTCCCAGACACCCTTTTTTGGCATAAATACTTTTAGAGAATGTTTGCGAGCCTTCTCTGTCTCTTCCTTGTTATTTCCAAAAAAAAAAAAAAAAAAAAAAAAAAAAAAAAAAAAAAAAAAAAAAAAAAAAAAGGAGGTATTCATAGGAGGCCTTTCTATTGTTCTACAAAATTAGCATATCTTGAATAAGACTGATAGTTTACTACCCTCAGTTGCTTACAGGTTTAATGTCTTTCGATTAACAGAACATGGTATGATTAGTTATATAAAGCAGAGAGTTTCTGAACATTCGAGAAAATGCATGGATCATTTTCAGCATTGCATCTAAGGAAAATAATAGTGACAGAATTATTACCTAAATGCATCTCTCTTAGGAACTTTTCTCAAAGTTAATATGCATTATTTTTTTCTTTGTGCTATGAAGTTTAACCTCTAACCATGTACCAATTCTTCAGCCCTTTTGGTAATTGAAAAAGCAAAGATGTGGTGTATTAAGCTAATTTTTAATTGAAAAACAAAATGTGGGATGTATTAAGTATGTGGAGTTCAACAATATATGAGGTGTCAATGTAATAAGCCTTATTGGTGCAGGCGAATGACTTGCAGGAGTCCTTATCGGTGCAAAGGTGATAAGGACAGCACTTACCATCGTCTTTCAATGGCGAACCCATTTGGGGGGGTCGGACAGCAATGGATTTGGATCCTCTCCTGAGCTAATGGAGAGGATCCTCCTGACCAATCATCGTGGGCCATTGGACTTTTATCCAACGGCTACAATCATTATAATTTTGAAGGGACCCTTCTGTTTGTAGCCGTTGGATAAAAACCCAACGGTCCACGATGATTGGTCAGGAGGATTCTCTCCATTAGCTCAGGAGAGGATCCAAATCCGAACAGGAATTACCCATATCTGAAAAATCGGTCTGGGAGCCATAATCGTGTCAGAATTCGTATCGAACTCGAAATATGAGGTTTTTGGGCAAAATCAAGAGATGGATTTTTTAGGTCGAGATCCGAATTGCTCGGTAACCAATTGAATTGAGAAATTTTTTGGATGATGAACAAAATTTGAAACGAGAGATGTGATTTAAGGAAATGGGGAAAGAAGGTTTTGGTGGATTGGTGGAATAGAGAGAGACTCCTCTGAGATGAATGATGCTTTTATTAGTAGAATTAACGTACATTATTCAATTTTCACGAAAAAATACTCTAAGATTTTCATAATTAATGTGTGTTTTTTTAACAAATGATATTATATACACTAAACAAAAAAAAGTGGGTTTTGCCTCACAATAGACTAGTAATAATATCTGATTCAAATTCATTATTGTTTGTGATACAGTTAAAAATCAGGGAGTCTCTTGTTTGAGTATCACCTGAATCGGTAGAGCATATCAAAAGATGTGCATTATGGATTTTATACAACTACAAAGTGTATAAGTTGCCATCCTTTTTGGAGGCAGATTGTCTGCCGTTCTGTTATTGTGTCCTTCCCATCCTCTCCTATTTGTCCGGTTACGGTTAAGTTACGTTAACATTTTATATTCTTATTACTTTTTATCTTATTATCTCTATAAATAATCAATATAAATTGTTGACGTGACTTAACCGTGATCGCATAAATAAAAGGGGATGAGAAGGGTACGGTAACAGGAGGGCAGACAATCTGCCTCCATCCTTTTTTGTGGTGACTTGAACATATAGGAATCAGCTTCTCTTAGAATTTTCTGTTTTGAGGAATGTTAGCTGTCTTCCTCATTTACTTTTTCCAATTTATCTTTCGCACTTGTTAAGTGTGTTCCACTAACACTCAAAAGTTAACTTTTAATGCTTACAAAACTCATAATTATTTGTGTTTTTATTACAAATAGCCCTTGAAATTGACCCACTCAATTAATATAACCCTCGAAATTCAAAAATCGATCAATATT